TGAATACCAACAGCAAAGCAAATCACCACGCCACCAGCATCAACAACCACAACCACAACAACAACAACCAAAGAAAACAAAAAACACCGCGCCCTCCACCCCTTCCCCCCATCCCCACTCACCCTCGACCCCCCAAACAATATTTGCTATACCAGAAAATTGCGCAGCCCACTCCGCCCCACCCCGCCCCGCGGCGAATGCGCAGGCGCGCGCGCGCAAACACGCGCACGCACACGCGCGCACTCACGCACACACACAAACACACACACACACACACACACACGCACACGCACACGCACACACACACACACACACATCACCACCACCACCACCACCACCACCACCACCACAACGGCCCCCCCCCCCTTCTCCCCACCGCCGTCCACGCGCGCGCCCCTCCCCACCCCGCCTCTCGCCCACACCGCCGCCCCCTCCCATCGCCGCTGCCCCCCCCCTTCCCCCCCCCTCGACCACAGGCGCACGCGCGCGCGCGCGCCGACCTCACCCGCCCAGCCCATCCCCCCTCACGCACCCGCGGACCCACGCATTCACCCGCCCATCCACTCGCCCGCTCACCCAACCCCATGACCGCCCACCACCTCTACCACCAGACACCCCCCCCCCTTCAGCCAACCGCCCGCCCGCCAACCTTCCCGCCCACCCAGCCACCCACAAACGCACGCAGACACGCGCACATATCGCAACCACGAACAACACTACGACCGCCACCACAGCCGGCACCGTCACAAACACCACCACGTCCACCACCACCACCACTACACCAACACAGCCACCACAGCCACCACCACCAAGCACGCGCAGATTACATCCCATCCCACAGCCCACCCCAAAACGATGGCTGAGAAATTACCGCGTCTTGATTTCGGGACTCACCTTTTAGCCACCTTGACTAAATATTTACCAATTCTGATTAAAATTTACCATATTGGCTAAAAGTTTACCCCTTCCAAGACATGTTTGGAACCAAATGGTGATAATCCCAATGGTTCGGATTGCGCTTCGCTCACGAACTGAAGCGCATTCTCCCTGAATGCGCACCGACTAAATTTTTGGCTGTTGGAGTAAAGAGTAAATGTTTCGCCCTCCTCTTCCTCGGACCGACTTTTTCGAAACGACTAAATTTACTCTTCTGTGAAAAAATTACCCCGTTCGCTAAAAAATTGGGCAACACCAGGTAGATATTTACCCAAAACGACTAAATTTTTACCGGTCGCCGACTAATTTTTTCGCGGTCGGAGTAAATTTGTCCGAATCGAGTAAATTTACCAGTTTCGAAAAAAAATACCCCGACAGCCCAAAAAATACCCTGAGCGGTAACAACTAAGCCGAAGAAGCTAAATTTTTAGCAAATGCGACTTCTCGCGGCGGCCGCTGGCTAAATTTTTAGTGGTCGGGATAGAAATTCGCAGGCGGTTCAACCTCATACTTTCGGAGCACCTTAGCCAGGTCGCACGGTCAAAATGGTTCCGTTCGCCGACTCACGAGCGGAACAGCAGCCGAAACCACCATGCCTGGACCAAACCGATTAAAAATTCAGGCAGAACGACGGGATTTTCATCGTCCGCGAAATTGTTTACCATGCCAAAAAAATAGCCCGATGCCGGGCGAGTAGTACCTTTACCCATTTCGAATCCATAAGGATCAAACTATTCCCTCGCGCGCGGGCATCGGAACCTTGTACTCAGGACGAGCGGGGGGAGCGCTGCGGCAGGGAGCTCGCGAGCACATCCCCGCCCGTCCGAATATACGGTAACCGAGCAAAGCTGGCCAAACCTGTTTGAGCGCTTGGAGTAACACCTTCCCCAAGCCGATTGAAATCAGCCACCCTGAAAAATCTAGCTGGGTCTAAGAAGGAACAACTTCTGAAACCCGCGAGCGAATCAGCGGCCGAAGCTGCGACCACCCAGCTAGACTGCAAATATATGAGATGGCAAGACATGTTTAGCCAAACTGGCTGAATACATACTCGGGTTGGTCATCGAAGCTGGGTGCTGTGCCCTCAAGACGGTGAAGATGCGGCCATATCTCCGCCACCCTGTTGGTGGGCGGCGGGGGCGGGGCACAATGTGCGCGATGGTTGTGGCGATGTTAAAGCGAAAAATATCAAGCGAAACCCAGCATAAAATGTCGCCCTCGGGCGCCAATTCATGGCCGTAGAATTACGAGCACATGTGGAACACCAGTGGGCACGCAGGTCGCGCGCGCGACGCATGTTGCACGCGCTGTCTGCATGCCACTTCCGGCGATGATACGTCGAAATCGCAATGGGAAAAAAAAACGATGTACAGATTTCTTCTCGGGCCCCAAGATACGTTAACATAATTGGGAAATGCGTGGAAAACCAATGGCCAAGCAAGACGCGCGCGCGATGCCTGTGGCATGCGCTGTGCGCGCACAATTTGCGGCGATGTTGAATGGAAAACCCAGTCGGTGACCCCGTGTAAAATGTCGCTCTCCGAATCGAAGAAATTGTCACAATGGCCGCGCGCGGGAATCATAGTGGGCACGCGTACAGGTCGCGCGCGCGCAGGTCGCGCGCGCGGTTCATGGTGTCTGCGCTGTGTGGCGATGAATGTTGCATGCGCTGTGTGCGCCAGCTGCGGCGATGTGAAATCGAGCGCCCAGATGGGAAAACCAACATGAAACATGTCGCTCTCGGGTTCCAGGTTATGGCCATAGACTTGCAAACTGCTTGGGGGGCCCATGGGCGCGCAGGACGCGCGCGCAAAAAAAATGTACGCAATTGCTGTTTGTATACAGTGTGCGGCTATGATACATCGAAAACCATATGGTGAAAACCCAATGTAAGATGCAGTTCTCCTATCACAAGAGGTTGTCATATAATTTCCAAGCGCGTGGAAAACAATCGTGGGCGCGCGCGCACGTCGCATGCGCGAGCAGGTCGCGCGCGCGATGCATGGTGCATGCGATGTGTGTATAATATGTGCGGCGATGTTTAAACGAAAGCCCAAGTCGGGGAAATCGGCTGTAAAGCTTCACTGTCATAATACAAGGGATGGTCCTATAATTGTTGTATGTGTGGAAAACCATCGTGTACGCGCAGGTCGCGCGCGTTGGCGCAAGTCGCGCGCTTTGTAAGTTGCGTGCAACGCGTGTGCACCAGCTGCGTTAATGTGAAACTGAAAACACAATGAGAAGGCACATTGTAAACTTAGTTATCAGGCTCTGACGCATCGTCCTATAAGCGCAGAAGATGTGCAAAAAGGCGCGCAGTTCGCACGCGATGCATGTTGCATGGGCTGTGTGTATGTCTTTCGTCGGCGATGAGAAATCGGAAACCTAATTTTGAAAACCCAAATGTGCAATTGAGCCCTCCAGCTTCAAGGGATGTCCATGTAATTTCCAACTGTGGGGAAACGATCGAAGGGCGCGCGATGCATTTTGCATGCGCTGTGTCTATGCCCAGCTGCCAGCATATCATAGCATAGCACAGCACAGCACAGCACAGCGCAGCATCGCGTAGCATAGCATAGCATAGTGCAGCATATCATATCATAGCATAGCCCAGCATATCATAGCGCAGCATACCATAGCCTAGCATAGCATAGCGCAACATAGCAAAACATAGCATAGCCTAGCACAACACAGCGCAGCCGAGCGTACCCTAGCATAGCATAGCATAACGCAGCACAGCGCAGCATAGAAAAGCACCAACACAGCTACCCCAGAGCGACCCGACCTAGGAGTTGTAGATGTAGATGTAGATGTAGATGTCGATGTAGATGTAGATGTAGATGTAGATGTAGATGTAGATGTAGACGTAGTAGATGTAGATGTAGGTGTATATGTAGGTGTAGATGTAGATGTAGACGTGAGTCTCGCGGTTGATGATGACGTAGATGTGGATGCAGGTGTAGATGTAGTGTAGATGTGGATGATGCTTTCCTAAATGCTCCAACTCCTAGGTAGGGCCGCACTGGGATAATTGTGATGATTCTGATGAATATTGCGACAATGTTTCCCGATCGCCCCCCCGAGAGGCCCCCCAAACGGAACGGGACACGCAAAGAGCACATCCACCGCAGCAGCGAGAATGGGACGAACTCGTCACGAAACCTCTCTTGCGGTTGCTTGCGCCGAGCCTGCCGACGCCATGGGCAGAGAGAGCACAAACTTGAGAATCCCTGGGCATGGGCAAAAAGGGGCGGAAGAAGATGCGGAGGAGGAACGACACGGAGGACGAGGACGAGACGGGGAAACTACCGCTCCGGCCAGGATAAGAGGGGCCAAACCAATTATAAGGGGATACGAGGTGGGCAGCGACAAGGACTATCGCAGATGGCCCCATAACCCACGACGGGCAACGAACAATACGGTGGCGCGGGTGCTCTGTAGGCAACACGTGGCGCGGGTTTGCGCAGGTATCGCCGTCGACTACGAATGTAAGTCTCTACTTGGAATGTGGATGCGCGGGCGTGTGCCTAGGGCGATCGCGCTACGGGCGCGTGCTCGTTACGCGCATAACGAACACGATGGTCCGTGCTGGCAGCCGTTTCACCGAAGTCCCACTGCGGCATAGACTGCGGCACCCGTGGACGATGCTCAAAATATTGCGCTGTGGTGGGTGGGGCACGCGCGCGCGCGCCCGCGGCCGCGCCGTCGACCGCCAACGTCACGGAGGCGCACCCGACTGGCACCATCGCGCAAGGCAGAGTTCGCGGACCTCAGACACAGGCTGGCCAGAATTTGCCTTCAACTATGGAGTAATCAATTCTGTAGCATTTCTCTCTTTCAAAGCATGCATCTCGGGGCCTGGATCAAATGACCTCGTCACGTGAGCCGGGAGGGCTCGAAGGGCATGGCAAGATAGGCGCGCGGAGGCCGCAAGTGGTGTTTGAAAAACGGCCTGGATCGCTGCTACAGTCGAACGGCTCTAGGCCTGGACACTCCTTGAATCGTACTTCATGCAACGGGATGTGCTTTGCAACATCATGTTCGCTCCCACCCTGTCAGCCCTCCATGCGAGACCAGCTGCTCACACCGTCGGCTATGCCGACCGTCGCCGTAGCCTGGCGGGCTGCGGAAGTCAACTGAGCCAGCGCCAGCACATGACAGCAGTATGGTCAGAGGGAGGCGAGACGGACAACTGCAACATCGGCAACGTGTGATCCGAGCTCTGCCCTGCTCGCGCCCAACTTCACCTCATCATACGCAGACAACAGTCGGAAGAGAACGCGACGACGACGACAACAACGACGACGACGACGACGACGACGACGACGACGACAACGGCGACCCTCCTTACAAATCGGCACCTGGAACTCTCCTTGGGCGTGTGTTCCCGACAAAGACTCGGGACAGGAATCCAGCCGTGGCGACTTCGAAGCCCCTCAGAAGCTCGAAACGGATGAGACACAGGTCCAAAACCTCACCCCATCGTACCTCGGACGAGAAACGACGGTGACGGCGACTGGCGACGGATACCCACGACGGGCTTGTCGTGCGCGGCCGAACCGACCCCTCCCATGACGACCCCCTCGCCCTGGAGTGAGGTGCTCGTTCTGGGGACCTTCCTGGAGCCACTCGCTCACTCATGCGTTGGTGCTGCGTCGACGGTCCGTCGACTCGAGACTTGAGCCGAACTTGAATCGAACCTGTGTCGAAGTAGAACCGAGTTTGGTCCGGACAGGACACGACCAGATCCGTGAGGTCCCCACCAGGAAGGTCCCCAGAACGAGCATCTAGCTGGAGGCTCTCCTCTGGTCGCCCTTGCCCACGCCGCGGAGCGAGGCGAGGCGAGGCCCGCCCTGGACGCAGGAAAGACTGCATAAACATAAACCGTCGGAGCTCCGCGCGGACTTCTCGGATGGGCGCCGGGCGCGCCGCCGGGGGGCCTCCGGCGCAAATCCAGGAACTCCGAGCGGAGCTCCGCAGGTTCTATACTCATGCAGCTTCGTCCCCTTCGGGGAAGGGGGGCTCCGGCCCGCCACGGGGGGCCGGCCAGGCTGCCCCCCCTCGAGCTCCGGGGCCTCCGTGGGCTGCGCCATGAAGAAGGCGTCGTCCCCGCAGTCGTGCCTGCCGCGCGGAGGCTTCGGCGCGGGCGCCGGCCGCTCGGACGAGACGGCGAGGCTCGGCCACGAATGGGCTCGAGTTGCCAGCCTGGAAGATATCCCTATCCCTGTGCTGGGCACCTCCTCATCACGGTGCCAATCTTAGGGGTTCCCTTATTTTTGGAGGGCGGATCCCCAAGACTGTCGTCGCCTGTTGGCGTGTCCATCTCAGGGATAGGGATACGCTCGAGGCTGGCAATGCAGGACCCAGACCTGGAGAACCGCCCGGAGACCAGAGCCCCTCCGGAGACACACGTGGCTCTTGCTTCCGCGGATTTCTCACCGGGAGACGTCGCGCTCTGCTTCGGGCCCCGGGGCCCTCGCGGATCGATCCCGCTCGAGCAATATGCGCAGAAAGCGAAGTTCCAGGGCTGCGGTTGTGACCCTTGACGGGTTGGCTTCCCCAGCGCCTCCCAGCGCCGGAGGCGCCAGTGCATCGAAGCATTCGCCCGGCGGCGGGGCCGAGACCAGCCACATGCAGCAACTTCGAGAGCGCTTTACTTGTGAAGACCCAAAATCGATCTACCTGCATGGCATTTCGCCTTCCCCCCCCTCCTCTCTCCCTCCCTGCCTCCCTCCCTCCCCCCTGACTCCCTCCCTCCCTCCCCCGCCGCTTTCTCAAGTAGCGCTGGGCCAAAAAGGCCTGCAATTGCGTCCCGGCTTGCGTGAGATCCAGACCTCCACGCCCCGCCCCCCTTCAGCACAAGAGGTGAACCTGCCATGGTCTGGAGCAAGCTGCCCTTTTTCGACCCCCCCCGCATCCCCTCCCATCTATCCCCCCATCTCCCGCACCATCACACGATATGAATACGATCCTCCTCTCCCCCGAAGACGTCCTGAGAGCGGCGCGCCCCCCTCCGCGTTGCTTTTTCTACACAGGCTTGACACACATTGCTTTTCCTTTGCTTTGATCGTCCATCTGAGCCGTTTCGGTCCTTCCACCATGCCGTTCCTGCTGCAGCGTGGGTCTCCTCGTCGGATCGGCGCTTTGTTCCCATCGTTCAGAATGGCGCTCTCCCCCCAGCGCGGGCCAATCTTCTGAGTCCGAGTGCTTCCTCACCGTTGCCTCCCCGTTCCTTTCCCCTCCTCCTCCTCCTCTTCCTCCTCCTCTTCCTCCTCCTCCTCCTCCACCACCTCATCCTCATACTTGTCCTCCTCCAGCTCCTCCCGCGCCTCCCATTCCTGCTGCTGCTGTTGTTCCTCATCGTCCTCCCTCTTCATCGTCCCCCTCATGCTATTCTAGCTCATCCCCCAACTCATCCGCAACCTCCTCATCTGATATACACAGCTCTTCTGTTATGATTGCGCATAACACGATGCTGTCCAGTTGGGGGGGTCAGGCCCGCTGTGTCCCCCGTCGGCGGACAGAGAACATATCAGCGCCATGGGAAAACATGGGTGCGAGGACTAGGAGGCTTGACATGGCGCGAGCGCACCTAGCTGGATCCCCCCACCGCCTCCATCCCCCCTCTCTGCTATCCCCACCCCGCACTCTTTTCTATTCCCCCCTCTCCTCGACCCCCCCTTTCATTTCCCCTTGTCCTCTATGTCCCCCCTCCTGAGTTCCCGCTTACATGCATCAGACTTCGTGTTCCCCCCCCCCCCCCCCCGCCCCTTTGAGCAGGGACCGACCGTCCCAGCATTCCTATAGGCCTACCACGAAATGTTCTTAGAACCCCAAAACGTTCTTAGAACAAACATTAGCCTGGCGAAGGACCCAAACATATGCAGTTGTGAGCACCGCAATTGTGAATATCGTTTTCGGTGGCGCTCCCAATGGGGCCACGAACCGAATGAGGGGCGCGCCGACATTCATGGCGGGGTACACAACGCGAACGAAGACGATAGGTCTGAGTGCGAGAGAGTGAGCGCGGGTGAGCCTGGGCGCGAGTGAGTCGAAGTGTGAATGAGTCTGCGCGCGAGTGAATATGTTTGCATGAGTGCGAGCATGGTCGCGCCGACTGTAAATGAACGTGAGCGAGTTGGGCACGCCTGGCTCCAAGTTCACGCGGCGCTGAGCGCGGCTGCCACAGGGCGCCCCCGCGGAAACCCTGATGGCAACGCCCGCGCGCCGCGGCGCCCATGTCGGCGCGCCCCTCGCGAGGATCGCGCCCGCTTCCTCCCCTTGCTTTCGCCATCTTTTCCCCTGCGCCCCAAGGCCCAAGGCTGCAGGCGCAGCGCAGCGCGGAGCCCCCGCGACGCGAGCCAGTCGCCCCGAAGGCGTCCCAGCGACGCGCGCGGGTCGTCCGCTGCGCGGAGCAAAGAGATCTAGCTGGCTGGCTGATGGCGGGCAAGGGCCCGCCCGCCGGGCAGAGCGACGACGGGCGAGCGAGGCGCCGGGCAGAGCGCCGCGCGGAGTTCCCGCGACGCGCGTGGGTCGCTCCGAGGAGGGCCCCAGCGATGCGCGCGGGTCGTCCGCGGCGCGAGGCCAAACGGTTGGACAGTCGAGAAGGCGCGGCTCGGGCGGGCCGCTCCTCAGGTCAAGCATCGCGGATAAAGCTAGTGAAGCCCAACTCCCTGGCGAGGGCCGTCGCCTCCCTCCTGCGCCGCTTCGTGCGCGCCGCAGACTGCTCCAGCCGCTTCCGCAAGCCCTCCTGCGGCCCCGCCAGGAAAAACTCGATGCGCGGCGCCCGCATGAGCAGGAGATCCTCGTGGCGGGCGGCGCGCGAGAGCAGCGCATATAGCTCCAACCACCAGTCGTCGTCCTCCTTCTTGCCATTCCCGGCCTCGTGGTGGCCGCAGTCCAGGATCACGCCTGGGCGACGTCGACCGAGGGGGCAGCGCGCCGGACAGCCGACGGCCCAAAGCGAGAGTCCACAGGACCGAAAAAACTCTGGAGCTCCATCTGGGGCCACGAAGCGTGTGAGGGTGTGCCAAAATGGGGCGGCGCCGCCACGCGAACTGCGCCAATGGGATCTCAGGTGGAGCTCCCTATGGGGCCACGAGAACGTGTGAGGGTGTGCCGAAATGGGGCGGCAGCGCCGCGCGAATTGCGCCACTGGGACCGTGGGTGGAACTCCCTATGGGGCCACGAAACGTGTGAGCGGTGTGCCAAAATGTGGCGGCGGCACCATGCGTACTGCACCACTGGGACCTTAGGTGGAGCTCCCTGTGGGGCCACGAAACGTGTGAGGGGTGTGCCACAATGGGGCGGCGGCGCTATGCAAACTGCGCCACTGGGATCTTTGGTGGAGCTCCTTATGGAGCCACGAAACGTGAGGGGTGTGCCAAAATGGGGCGACGGTGCCATGCAAACTGCGCCACTGGGATCGTTGGGGGAGCCCCTCATGGAGCCACGAAACGTGTGAGGGGTGTGCCACAATGGGGCGGCGGCGCCATGCGAACTGCGCCAGTGGGGCCTTAGGTGGAGCTCCTCATGGAGCCACGAAACGTGTGAGGGGTGTGCCACAATGGGGCGGCGGCGCTATGCGAACTGCGCCACTGCGACCTTAGGTGGAGCCCCCTTTGAGGCCACGAAACGTGTAAGGGGTGTGCCAAAATGGGGCGGCGGCGCCATGCGAACTGCGCCGCTGCGACCTTAGGTGGAGCTCCCTATGGGGCCACGAAACGTGTGAGGGGTGTGCCAAAAGGGGGCGGCGGCGCCATGCGAACTGGGGCCTTAGGTGGGGCTCCCTATGGGGCCGCGAAACGTGTGAGGAGTGTACCGAAACAGAGACATGATGAAGACAGGGGCAAGGACTGGGAGAAGGGAGGAGGGGGAGGAGGGCGGAGGAGGAGAAGGGGGAGGCGGGAGGGAGGGACGCGGGGCGCTGTCTCTTCAAAACGAGGACCCACCACCTCAGGATGGTTGGGAACATGGTTCTTAGAACACAAGCCCGATGTGTTGAAACAAAGCAGTCCCAGCCAGAAATGTTCTACGAACATTTCGTGGAAGCCACAACAGGTTCTTAGAACATTGTTTGGTAGGCCTATGGGAACGCCGGGACGCTTCGCCACTGCTTGACCCCTCCGACCCGGGCCGATGGGCCCGCGCAGGCTGGCGGCCCCGCCTACCCTGGGGGTCGCACTTCGCACGGGGAGCGAATTGTAGCATCGCTGATGCATCCTGGGCTTACCCTGGTCCTCCTACTTCTCCTCCACCTCCTCATCATCATCAGCAACATCATCATCATCAACATCATCATCATCATCATCATCATCATCATCATCATCATCATCATCATCATCATCGTCATCATCATAATCATAAGCATCATCATCAACAACATCATCGGCATCATCATTAGCATCATCGTCGTCAGCGTCATCGTCATCAGCATCATAACCATCGTCATCCTAAACATCAGCATCAGCATCATCATCAACATCATCATTATACTTGGCATCATCGTCGTCATCAGCAGCAGCATCAGCAGCAGCGTCAGCATCATCATCATCATCATCATCATCATCATCATCATCATCATCATCAACATCATCGTCAGCGTCAGCATCGTCATCAGCATCACGATCAGCATCATCGTCAGCATCATATTCATCATCGTCGTCATCATCAGCGTCATCAATATCATCATCAACAGCAGCATCAGCATCAGCAGCATCAAAATCATCATCATCAGCCGCATCATCAGCCGCATCAGCATCGTCACAACCACTATCATCATCACCATCATCATCACCAGCATCATCTTCCTCACCTTCTTCACCATCATCACCACCGTCACCATCCGGAACATCACCGTGATCACCATCCCCATCACCATTACCATCATTACCATCATCGTCGCCATCGTCATCGTCATCCTCGTCCTTATCATCATCGTCACCGTCAGCATCATCATCATCACCACCACTGTTATATGATGCGTGTGTGATGCTAGGCTTCAACCCTGTATCAATGAGTTCGATGTCTGTGGAGAAAAAGGTCGCGAGCCCACGGGCCGCAAACGTATCAGTCTTCCTAAACAGCTATCTCCGACGCGAGCAGGAAAAGACATCGCAAAC